AAAGTTGAGACCGAAACGCCTGGCTCTTATACACATCTAGATGTGGATAAGAGACAGATATATGTGTGGGTGTGTATAACATGTATATATATATAATTATTATTTAAGACTAAAACAGTAAATCTAAAAATAATTTAAATCAATCATGTTATGATCCTGGCTAATAAAAAAATCTTGAATCTTTAATAAAAAAAAAAACAATTATAAAAAACAGTAACAGGTTTCCAACATTCCATTTCTTTATACCTGTTCTGTAAATAGAATTGATGTCATTACTCACTTGGGCATTCTTTTATACATTGGGCACCATAGGAATATCTGAACTTGGAATTTTCTATATTTTTGTAACTTAATGGGTCGTACACATATCTTGGCGGGCATGACTCAACACACTCATTCCCATTGGTGAAATTGCGACATGACTGTAAAATATAAATAAAGGTTCAATTGTAATATAAATCAATTAACATAAGGAAGTATGAATTTTTAATTGACAAAGAAGTAAATAGTTAAAAATAAATGAAAAGGAAAGTTTGAAATATTCTAAATACTGTAAGTACCAAACATTCAGTGTTGAGTGATCCAGTACATCCAGCAGCACAGCTCTTATGACAACAATCAGCGGCAGTGTTTCCACGACAACGATAGTCACAAGTTCCATCGCAGATACGTTTGGTCACTTGAAAAATAGAAAAATGTCAATGCATTAAAATTGAAGTATATCAGGATGAAATTACTGAATTGCAAATATAGATTAGCTACAATGTATGCAAAAATGATGGAGAGTGTAAATATCATGAAATTTAGTCTTGTATTAAATTTACCAAAATTAATACACAATTTTATTTAATATTTTATTAATAATTCATCTATTATAAAATAACATTTATACACATTCAGTCTGTAAATTGGCAGAATTATTCCAGTGTAGTGATAAAAAACATATTATTAATTATGTATTTCAATAAGACTAAAAGAAGTCACTTGATCATACTGGACAGTGTACACTGAAGTCCAAAATTTACAAGAAAACTTAGATCTTACATTGTTGGTAGTTCTCTGGTCCTTCACCCCAACAGCCTCCTCCATTACTATTGTTACATGGTGGACCTGCAATAGATACAATTAAAAACTTTTTAAAGAATGAATGTCATTTAAAAATATTAGAAATTTCAAACATAATATAAAATTTTTTTAAAATGGATTTTAAAAAATTCTTTGATGAGAGTTAATATAATGACCTTATTGGGTGTCAGGCTAATTGATTTTCTTGCATTTTTTGTTTATTTTTATGTTTAAAATACAACCAAAACAATATCAACATTTATTACTCCTTGCTGTGCAAAAATACACAGTGAAGGTTTGAATCCCAACCTCAAAGTTGAGACCGAAACGCAACCGCTATGTCAATAGCTGCAGAGCAGTATTAGAGGCGCAGAAATCCCCATGGTTCAGCACACAGTGTTACGACCTCATTCAACCAACTGGGTTCAGTAGCGGCTCTAGGATTAATTTTCTGGGATGCTAAGCTGTCCGACGGGGAGGCTGGAGCTTGTATGCCTGAGGAGGGGGTGGGTGTCCCCTTCCCAAATGAGATTTCTTCTAAAAATAGGGACCTGTGGAGGGCTGGAAATGGCCCTCTATGACTGTGAAAGACACATTTTGGTTTTTTGGTCCAAATGCCTGACGAGCTCGGCCGGTGGGGGTTTGACATGTCCGATAGAGGGCTTAAGGCCCATGCCACCCGCTGGCGCCACCGACTAGGTTGTGCTGCCCTCAGTAGGCCAATACTTACAATCTCTTTGCGGAGCTGTGTTATCATATTCAATTGTAACGTTGGCACCGGGTGATATAATATCATCCCAATCGATGGTATCCACAAAACAAAGGCGATTATTCGACACAATTGTTACATTTCCTTGTATTATTTCTGTGGACATAAATAAATACGGCTTAAATTCAATTTCCTTTTCTGATTACCAGTTAAATTAAGCATTTATGCAAAGAATATAGAAATTGTTTTAAAACCAGGCTATGGAGGGAAAATATTGTTATTTGTATTACTGATTTTCATAAGGCACTGAATGGGTCCATGAAAATACAGGAAATGTTAATTAGATACAGATTTTTAAATATTTATCTAGGGAAAAGGGGCATATAATCACCTTTTCACCAACAGTTTTTAAATATTAAAAAACCTGCTTTAATTGGCAAGTTAATCTGGTTTGATAGTTATCAATTGTTCCTATGGATTTGTAATGCATATTCTAATAGAGGTTTTGTCTGTCCCCATCTTTAAATTGCATTTCTTTGTTTTTATTTCTTTTCTTTTTATATGTTTCTGATGTCGATTCATCAATTAGCTTATATTTTAATTTAAATTTGTAAAAATAAAATATTTGTGAATGGATAAATTGGACATACCTTGAAGGGACCGGAATTGCAGTTCATGAAGACCAATATCTTTATTTTCTTGATTATAGTTATGACTAATAAAGAGAGCATTTCCGTCTAATAGTTTGGTTCCTCGGATAACGCGGAGATTCGGCATCATCCCATATCGCAAGTGCGATAATGAAATAAGAACATAACCTGTCACCTCGCGGATGTCTTTCAAAAATGAAAAATCCTTATCTGTATCTTGTTGGTATGAAATTTCTAGATTGCCCTCGATGTAAGTACAATTAGTGTAGAGTGTTTTCAAGATGTTGTACCGCTGCTCAGGGTCCTGTACCACGGAACGTCCATAATTCGTGCCAGTGCATGCTGCCAAAATAAAGTGGAAAACACAATACATAATAGTTTGTATTTTTTTTTACTTATATGGTTATAAATTACATGCTGATCTTTAATTATTTTAAATAAAATATTTCAACACATTTTGGAGTTAAACCTAAATGATCACGTGACAAGTGGATCAGCGTAATTACATCTGCTTCCCTGAATAAATTGCAACAAAAGCTTGCAAAGTATATAATAAGCTATATTTGATTTCAAAATTCTAATTACACAAATCAAACAAAATTATTATGATTATTAACTTTTAATAATAATAATTATAATAATAATATGCACTAAGTCGGACTTAAGGAGAAAAGCTTTTGTTATTTTTCCCTTAACGTCATTTTTTAAAATTGTTTTCTAATTTCTCCATTGTCTAAGTTCCCCTTAAGGTAGGTTTTAGTAACATAATAATAATAATAATAATAATAATAATAATAATAATAATAATAATAATAGTAATAATAATAATAATAATAACAATAATAATAATAATAACAATAACAACAATAATAATAATAATAATGAAAATAACTATGGATAATCAGACACTTATTACAATTGCCATTTATCTTTGCTGTTTTGGTTACTATTTTAGTATATAATGGAAAGTATTAAGAGTCTTATGACTAACTTATGTCACAAATATACGTAAAGACATAAAGAGTATTGATGTCATGTACGTTAAGGCCCTATAAAAAATAATATTAGTTTATCACCCTATCTGGGCAGGAAAAGTGATGAGGGAGGGAGGCTTTTTTTTTAAATTTTTTATTTTGCTAAAGCCGAATATGACCCTTGGTTTGTTTGCTGGTGCATTGATATTCAAATTAAAACATGATTTAGATAATGCAAATAATATCTAACTATTTAATAAAATAAATGAAAAAAATAAATTTAAAAAATATAAATTTTCAAATTTTTATTTATTTATTTTTTTTCAAAACAATTTTTTTTTTCAGTACCAGAAAAGGCATGCGTGCGAGGGTGATAAACTAATAATTTTTTTTATTGGGCCTAATCATTAAATATGACTTTTAGAATAATTGATGACAAAAGTTTCAAAATCAGGAAAAGCAAAAAACATTTTAAAAGAATTTTACAAGCCAAAAAACAAAAAAAAAATAAAAAGAAAGGAATGAAGAATTATTATACCTTTTTCTTATTTCTGATCCACCTCTGGTTATACAATAGTATCATTTAGGTGTATTTAGTTTAGATACTGTATCTGACAAATCATTTGGCTATACAACAATGTTACTATGGATTCAACACATGTTTATCTATCATGTACACGAATATTGTGTGGTTATGTACCTGTTGAAACAGCACATATACTATGATTCTGAAAAATTAACATTGACAACAGATCCCCAGGTATTAGCTTGTGGCAAAAAAAAAAGACAAAAAACTTTGTAACATTGCAACAAAGTAGCATTTTCCAATATAGGGTACATGGCCACTGTGAATAAAATTAATTGACGGCATATTAAGGTTAACATCATTTTAGGGATGAAATATCTGAGGTTCTTGAACTTGGAGATAAGGTATTTATTCAGTAGACAATGATCATCAACAACCTGATAAAGTGGGGCAAAGGTTATAAAAGTCCTATAATAGCTTAAGATTATCTGCACTGCAATAAAGTCACAATCTAAAAGATAATTACTGGTGTCATCATTACAAAGATAATAGACAAAAAATATTCTTTAGTCACTCAATACACAAAATAATTATTCAAATTATTCAAAATTTATGAAACAGTAGTCAAAAAGACTCCAAAGAGTCTATTGAATGTAAGACAATGTTTGTGTAATTATTGCATATAATTAAGAATTTGACACATTGATGAAACTTGGAATGGAAATGGCTAAAGTCTGAAGATGGTAAGGTGACAGTTTGTAGCCTGATGATAAAGATTGCATGCCTGATTGTCCACAGTACAAATAATGAATAAATTAATAAATATATAATTAAAATTGAAATTTACAATGGAAGATTTAGAAATGACTAATGAGGTACTTCTCCCATCCCCAACAACAGCCAAGAATCTCTAATGCAAGTGTGGATCTGTTGCAATAAGTGATTAAAAGGCTAAATTCTTTGCCTCCAGGTGGTGTACGCTCTAAAAACCTTTCTCCTCGATTGTTACTTTGCTCTCCCCCCCCCCTTCCCGGCAAGAACATCTGGATATGCTACTGCTTTACATGGCACCTTGAATAATATAGATAAAGAATCAGCAATTTTGATAGTCTAAAGCTTACCTGGATTAAGTGAGTTCATCCAGGTAAGTAGGCATATGTAGAACACTTAATTAATATGATGGCAGAAATCAAATATCCCAAGAAAAATGAAATGATTACAATCCTATGGTTAAGTCAATATGTAACGAAAGAGTGGCAAATATCTGTGTATACTTTGTGGACATAAATATGCTAAGAGCCCTGGTCAAATTGGTCAGGTAAAAATACTTCTCAGAAATTGTGTTAAATACATGTGCATACGATTGTGGCCAGATAATGATTGATCATGTCAGACATTTTCGACTTCAAAAGCAATTAGTTTAAAATCTTTTACTAATATTCATGCTGGCTTATCTACAGAGCAAAGAGAAATGTTTATGGGTAACTGATGTCCAGGGGCCACTCAAACCATAATTCTGGTCAATTTGATGCGACAACTGCTAAATTTCTTCCTAATTTCTGAATTACAGTATCATCTATTTTGTCTGAGACGCAATTAAATCAAATCAAGGAAGATGCAAAACTACAACATGACTATATGTATATTCTACATCTCTTTAGCTAGTTTCATTCTCATAAACTTAATATTGTTAAAAGGAGCCATATTATTCTGTTAGATATAGATGAAAAATTAAGTTTGGCACTAAATTTGCTACAGACCTACTGTATACAATTGTTTTATTCAATTAAAATTTAAAAATTGATATTCAAAACATGAGAACATCTTATGTTAATGCTTCAAAGTGTTTATGGCTTTGCCTGTTTTAAATAGAATTGTTTTAAGTATTTAACAAGTCATTTAAATGTATAATTTATCTATATGAAACTATAATATTATTTACACAATTTTAATTACTTAAAATATACATAACATTTATATAATTGTAAAAATTAGTTGAAAAGAATAGTTATAAGATATAAAATACAAGATACAATGACACATATATTAAATAAAGAGAGATTTTCTGAAATGGTATAATTATGATCTTAGCATTTCATGGTAAAATGTATGCCCTAAAATATACATAAAGCATAATGTATCATATGTACTATTATCCTTTGATTCATCTCTTGCTTTTTAAGGGAGAATGTTCATACTACCTGAACTGATGCCTACATCAAATCAATATAATAGTGTTCATTTCAATGCCTTAAAGTGCATTGCCATCTGGTAATCAATAGGGAAACATGAAGTACCTGGAAAACCATTAGAGATACAAACACGTGGAAAACATGGTCTCATTACTATGGTACGTTAGAAATTAGAAGACTGAATATACAGCTACCCAGTGAAATAAACCTAACACAAGAGTTAAATCACTGGATTATAACATCACATAACCTTTGATGATCTGTGATAATTGATGGTTTAATATATAGACGAGAAAATTGTAGATTGTAAAAAGGATTAACGGAAGTTGTAGGTAATCTAGGAAAGAGGTTCATTGATTCACTTGTAGTTGCAACAACAATCTTAATTGATGGAAATCCTTTGGGAGATATCTGGTGGTGAAATTAAGCAGGTGTAAAGTAGAACACAGAGAATATGAGAAGACGAAGAACACGCCTCTACACCTTTCTTTAACTGTCTTTGACTAGTTTAAGTCTAGCTACATTGAAACATTTCACATGTTTTACAATATCAATAAAGTCAAAATCAGTCAAGTCATACTAATCTAATCATTTGGTTTGTCTGAAACTTCAATGTCGCTGACATTATGAAATTAAAATCACAAAAAAATGGACGATACCAGTTTACAATAAATTAACATATTACTGGCCTGAATACGTTTATATATTCAAAGCAGCTCCTATATCATACTTGTTATAAATACAATAGCTTTTTCAAAAGTTTTCAACACAAAATCTCATCAAATCATTTTTGTTTTTGTTGATGTTTAAAAATATATTGCCTATGTTGAGACATATTCATTGGTAAAATGTAATTTCACAACTGAACAAATTATTAACAAAAATACATATACCAGTAAATAGTTTCAAGTTCTAAGCAAACAGAGTATGAGGACAGGTTACTTAACTTATCATGAAAAAGTTATATTTGATTAGTGCCAATAAAACATACAGAATATATGAAACAAAAATGGAAAAAAAAAATTTCTGTAAAGTCCTAAGTTTATATTAATAAATTATATTAATATCTTCTAAAACAACATTTTTACAAGTCAACTATTTAAGCAACAAAACATACTGTATATTATTTTATTTTATATTAAAAAGAATAGAATTATTTGGTTTTATAAATTTTGAAAATAGGTCAATGTTTAATTATTGAAATATTTAATTATCACAATTATATATGAAAACAATGTTTTATTTGCATATCTGAAAATGTAGGCCAACAGTAACAGAAGGTTTAAGCATTCAAGACAAAAAAATAGGTTAGATGAAATGGCAAAGCATATTGGTATAGCCTGGATAAGAATGGCCAAGGCCAGAGGAAACCAGCCTCGAATCTTGGTTTTTGTTTTGGTTTTTAAAACTTTATTGTTACCTGTGTCTTTGTAATCTCTAAATAAACTAAGTACTAAATCGGGGCCAATAACTGCCCCACAGTCACGGATACAGGAGATTGTGCGGTAGCTGATACACAATGGCTAATACCAGTACTTTGAAACATACGCAAAAACTTGTGATCAGAAGACAGAAGGTGCAAAAGTAATTTGGTTTGATACGCCATGCCTACAGGTAGATATTAAATGAGAGAAAAAATTCTTTAATCAT